ACACAAGAAACTAACAAATTATTAGTATCCAAAATATACAAAGCACTCCTAGCAATAAAAAAGATAAGAAAAAGAGCTTATTCTAAAAGTAAGAAAAACACTCCAACAGGAACTTCAGGAAAGGGAAAATCAGAATAGTTGAGCTCTTTCCAGTCTTATTTTGTAGTAAGAAAATGCTAAAGGGGGGCTGGGGATTTAGCTCAGTGGCATAAAGCGCCTGCCTTGCAAGCAGGTAGTCGTGAGTTCGATCCTCAGTACCAATAAAAAGGAAAAAGACCAAAAAAGAAAGAAAGAAAGAAAATGCTAAAGGAAGCTACAGTGAGATATGATTATCTATTCCCCAGACTGGCAAAATTTGAACAGTTCTAACAATATTGATTAATGTGAAAAACAAAGATGCAAGGAGTTGTGCTCAGGTAGAACTGTGGGCCAAGGACAGCCACCTTTCAGAAGGTTTTGCACTTTGTGACAAGTCTAAGACGTGCGTCCCCTGACACAGACCTTCTACTCCGGGGTGTGCACCATGCAGACACACAGCAGCGTACATGAAGAAGAAGCTCCAAGTGACTTTCCTCAAAATAACCCCCAAACTGTGCTCGCTTTGGCTGAGCATATACTAAAGTAGCTCCCAAATGTCCGGTAACAACAGAATACAGTGGTAACAGGTTGTTCAGTGAAATTCTGTGCAACAGGGAAAACAAATATTGTCCTACAAATAGTAGCACGGACAGACTGCAAAAACTTGAATGAAATACAAAAAATAAAAATACAGACAATGTGATTCTATTTACATAATCTGTAAAAATTTAGGTAACACCCACTAGGTTTTTATTTTTAAGAAACAAAAAAAAACAAGTGTTGATGGGGATTTGGAAAAATCAGAAACCTTGTGTATTGCCAGGAATGTAAAAAAGGTGCAGGTGCCGTGCAAAACAATGTAGCAGTTCCTCAAAAAATTAAACATAGAATTGCCATATGACTCAACAATTTGACTTCTGGGTATGCTGTATACCCAGAAGAATTAAATCAGGGACTCAGGCAGGTATTTGTACACTTATGTTCTGTGCAGCATCAGACGAAAGAGCCGAAAGGTAGAAACACCCCAGCTGCGTATTGATGGGTAAGTGGGTAAATAAAAGGTGGTTCATGCATACAGTGGAGGATGGTGTGGCCTTAAAAAGAAGTGAAATTTTTAAAAAAATTTAAAAATTTAAAAAAAAATTTTTAAAAGTGAAATTCTGACATCACAACATACCAGAACCTTGAAGAGATGCTCAATGAAATAAGCCAACTTCAAAAGGACACATATTGTATGTTCCCATTTATGTAAAGTCTCTGGAGGGGTTGAATTCACAGAGACAGTAAAGAGAATTGCGTGGAGGACACGATGGACAAGATAGGACAAAATTAATGTGACTGTCAGAGGCTGGAGTGAGTAGAGACTGGAGAGTTACTGTTTAATGGGCACAGAGTTTAGTTTGTGAATATTTAAAAATTCCGGAAATCAATGGCAGTGACAGTTGCACAAAAATGTGAATATATTTAATGTCATTAAACTGCACATTCAAAATGGTAAATGTTATATATATATTTTACAATTTAAATTCTTTTAAATTCCATTTAAAAAGATGGATAAAAAATTGGAAAATATTAATTATAATAATTTATTATTTTATTTACTCAAGCATGAACACAAACTTCCACAGTGCATGAAGGAAATACAGTACATGCCTCCAGCCTCTCTGTCCCTACCCCAAGAAAACCCCCCAGAGACACAGTGCCAGTCATGGTTTGGTAATCAGGAGGGTGGGCTGCTGGGCACAGACTTCATATTCAGGTCTCATCAGTTAAGAGCTAATAATTATGTGGCATCATTCTTATGACCATGTTGAAACACAAATCAAGTTGCATCCAGCTCCACAGCACTGAGGCCAGGGCAGAGCTCTCCACAGCCTCTGTTAATTCATCACATCCATGTCTAATCTCATCCCTGATTATTTCATTTGCTTTACTCATTTTCCAGAGGCCTCTGCCCTACCTCTGGCAATGCTGCTTTTCCTAAATGACCCAAGCTGGGTGGGATTTGTTTTCCACGGAAATGGGTGACACAGCTGCCCTTGCAATGGAGACACAGTGATGGTCATCTCAGTGACAAGATGTCCACTCTGGCTTGTAAAGCAAGCTCGGTGAGCTTGCTGTGTGACTGGGTTCTCTGTCCTCTCAGATGCCACTCGGCCCTCCAGGATCTTCCAGAGTGCTACTGCTCATCTGGCCACTGCATTCCTGGCTCTCATCCCACTATTCTGCAGGTGAAGGCAGTCTGCAGAGTTTAGGAGTGAAATCCAGTTACCCACACAGCCCGCACAGGCCTGGCGTCACCCCCACACCATGTGCCTCTTGCTGAGATTGAAAATAAGTTGAGAAAAAGCATATTCTTGTGATAGGAACCTGGTTGCTTTCAGATAGCTCACTTGATTGATACTGACCGAGACTAAAGTGGTCGCACTACCTGAGTCTACTCTTTATGGTTTTCATTCTCTATGAACTAGAAATAAAAGGGATGTGAAGCTTGAAGATGAGAACATTTATTTTCTCTAAAGCAAGGAGACCTCTGAGCAGACGGCCACAGCGTGACAGCAGACAGACACAACAAGAGTATTGCTGCCATGGCCAAGCGGGGCCACCTCCGACACACAGGTTTATCTCCAGCACGCAGGAGTGGAATGTGTCCTCAACTTCATTTTTAAAAAAAACTCAAATTTAACATAGTCCTGAGACTACGTTTGACAAGAAATTTATTATTGGTTAGGTTTTAGGATGCCTGTCTACTTCTCTGGAGATGTCTATATAGCCAGCAGAAATGAAGGCCTATAGCTCTTTGCCCATCCTTGATACCACAGATGCTCCAGGCTTGCTGTCTTAGTCCATGGGGCCCTCAACAGTGGATGGTCATGTTCTTTCTGAGCAAAGCATAGACACAGAGACCTTTATCCTCAAAGCCCAGGGATTGACCTGATGGTTAACCCATGAGAAAGCCTGGTACCAACAGGATAATGGGATGGGAAAAGAAATTCACCCTAGATGGGCTTGGGAACTACCCTCTTAGGGGTCACTTTCTCACATCTAAGCCTCCTTGTGGCAGGCTGTCATGGGTCCCTAAAGTGCCGGCATCTTAATCCCTAGGACCCGAGAATGCACCTTTTATTACAAAAAGACTTGATAAATGTGATTAGATTAAGAAGCTTGAGAGGAGAGTAGCCTGCAGTAGCCAGGTGGCTTGTACATTGAATTACATGCATCCCTAGAAGAGGCAGGCAAAGGCACACATGATTACAGCAAAAGGCCACATAATATGTCATGATGGTACAGAGATGGTATGATGCAGTCGGAGGATGGAGGAGGGACAGTAAGTAGTCTTGAGAAGCAGGAAAAGGTGAGGAAATGTTCTCCTTTAGAGCCCCCAGAAGGACCAGGCCCTGCAAAGTTCAGGCTTCTGACCTCTAAAATGATAGATAATAGTTGAGTTGTTTTAAGCTCCATTTGTGACAGCAGCAACTAGAAGCTAGTCAAGTTCCTTTCCCCACAAACAACTAAGCTCTTTGGCCCAGACATCTGAAATTCATCCTCAAAAGACAACCCCAGCCCACAGGGCCCTAAGCCCGGGCTCGTTTCTTAGAAAGAAGAAGGGGAAATACCTTTATTTCTTCCACAATGTATTGGCCCCAGGAAGTGAGATGTGGTCGATCTCTTAATCACTGTATCTTGCCACTCAGGAACATTTAGGGTCTTAGTCATCAGGGGCTCCTGGAAACCACCTGAGACTTGAAGGTCACAGCACTGCCCTCAGTTTAAGGTGAGACAAGCCTGTCACCACCTCTTGAATGCTCATCATGTTGCATCTGGGGGTGTCTGTGTGCTACACTCCAACCCCACTCTTCTGTCTGAGGAGTGAGCTCACTGAGATTTGTAAAGCCAGCCCCAGTAACTAAGTTTAAAAGGGAAACAAAAATACTTTATTTGTAAGAGAGGAAAAGCGTAGACAGAAAGCTATCCTATGAGACAGTAGAGGGTCTGGGCTGGAAACCCACGGGCTTTTGTCTTCAGCCCTTTTTATTAGAGTGGCAGAAAGACGCTGCCCTCTGGAGCTTGTCCCAATTTGATTGTCTGTTTTAGGCCTTAGGACCCTTAACTTGCCCACTGTGCGCCACCATTGCTTATGTGCAGATTCCTAGGTGAGCTTCATTTGGGTTTCTTTGTCTTGTCAGAATCCTATTGTTAGGATTTATGGGCTTGTTAAAAGGTCTTTACATACAAGGTCATGTTAGCAATTAAGTAAAGGGGGTACATGCATACTCAGTGCAGAAATATAGTGAGAATAATAATAAATGTGTGTATGCATGCATGTGGGTGTCTAGGTGCGGGAATGTGCTCTGTGTATAACTGAGTCTTCTGTGATGTAGCCCCTCCCCCTGCTTTTGTCTCCTTTGTGCTTTACTGCATGGTGGGGAGGTACAGCTAACTAGGGCTGGGGCACCTGGGGAGCTATGTTCTGTTTATCAGCTCTCCTGCTTCTCCAAATTGCTCCTTCTGGCAAAGGTTTAACTTTTGCTAGTCAGGAATTGTCAGAAAGCTTCTTGAGGCCTTCCTACCCTGCTATGTCCCTATCCATCTGCCTTGTACTTGGCTAGGTGGTCGCTGGTCGCCTGGGCTAGCATACAGCCTACTGATCAATTCTGCAGGAAGAGGGGGCTGTTGCTCTTCTAAGGGCGCTGAGACAGTCTCACTGGAGATGAACCCAGTGAGGGAATGGGCCAGGGGCAGGCCAAGCCATGACACTTGGTAGGAAGGAGGTATGTTATACGTCCTGTGGGGGGTGCCCTTTGGCTGGTACACAGGCAGGACAGGCTGGACCTCCATTCTTTCAGACTGCAAAAAGTAGGACATTAGTAGATAAGAATTCTTCTTATTTGGAAGGAACTCACACGCTATGTCCTATTTGGTAATAATGCTTTATTTTGTCTTTCCAAGTTAACATTTCATATTCTTCAGGGGTGTGAAAACAGATCTCTTCCTTAGAAATAACCATCTGGTTGAAGGCAGGCTGATCAGTTTCATGTGAACTGACCACAAACTCAGAGGCTTAAACAATACAAACCTATTATCTTACAGTTCCGGAGGTCAGAACTCCTAATCAGGTCTCCCAAGGCTAAAATCGCAGTGTCAGCAGGCCTACATTCTTGCTGGAGGCTCAGGAAAATATGTTTTCTTGTTTTTTTCAGTTTCCAGAGGCTTTTTTGGTTGGGGACACCTTCCTCTGTCTTCAAAGCCAGAAACACATCATTCCATCATCTGCTCTTGGTGCCACATTTGGTTCTCGGACTCAGACTTTCCTACTTTCCTCTTTTAATTCCAAGGACCTTTGCAATTATATTGAAGCTACCCAGACAGCCCAGTCTAAACTTTCTATTCCAAAATTTTTAGGCTAATTACATCTGCAAAGTCTCTTTGCCAAATGAGATAAATGTACCAACAGGTTCCAAGGTTTAGGCAATTGCTATCATTTGGATGTTGAATATCCCCAGGATGGTGCTATTTGGAAGCAGAGGAGCCTCTTAAAGGTACAATCTCATGTGTTTTCTTCAGTCATCAGAGTTGTGGCCTCAGGTGGGACTGTGGGACCCAGCTCTTTCCTTTCTTTCACTTCCTGGACATGGATTGAGAAGTTTGCTGTATTGTGTGCTATGTACCATGTCTACCTAGCACTCACCAGAGGCTCAAAACAATGGATCCCCTCAATGTCGGATTGGAACCTCCAAATCTGTGAGCTATGGTAAACCTTTTCTCTTGTAAGTCAATTATCTCAGGCATTTTATTTTAGTACCCTGAAGTTGACTAATCCATTCATGGATGTCTCTGGGAAGCCATTGTGCTGCCTATTACAGCAAACAGGTTTACTGCAATGTTTTGATACCTAGCTCTAAAACATCTGTTCATGGAGATTTCTTGAGAGTCTAGTGTTGCTCATAGGTGCCCAGCATGGAAAAACACATGAATGTTTTGCTTCTTGCTCTTATCAGTTTCCAAGTTTCCACTAGCTATGTCTATTTGATCACTTGTAAGTCTTTCAATAATCGGTCCTCAGAAGGAGCTGCTGGAGATCACCCCCTTATAAAGTTTTCAAGGCTTCTCACAAAGAGCCTCCAGGGCCTATGAGTAAACAAGTCCTCAAGTAGTCCCCCCCCCATAATCTCCTTGGGTCTGAGGATCGGTAGAACAGTCTATTAGCAGAAAAAAAATATAATTTCTAGCCAATCACACACACACACACACACACACGCACACACACACACACACACACACAGCTTCCAGAAGATTGGCCCAGACTTCCCTTTCTTTTCCCTTCATTCTGTCATACACAGCTCTCCTCTCTGGGCCCTTTTGATGGTCTGTGATCTCTCTGCCTTCTCTCCTGCTTTCTTCTCCCTTCTTCCCTCTTCCCTCAGAATCCTGGATCCATCCTGGCAGTAGCTCACAGGGTCGTGAGGACCATTCCTCCTGAACTATCAAGGAAATCTTAGTTGGGTATTAGACTTTGACTTTCTTTGAAGCAAGATGTGAACAAGAGAAGCAAGCCCTTCTTGTTAGTACTGATTATTATTATGTACTATAACATTAAAACTGTCTTTCCAAGGCCCTCTCTTCATTGTGATAGGAGAAAGATTATAAGTGGAATAGAAAATTCCATTCTCCCACAAACATAATTAGTTAGATAAACAATAATTGAAAGAATGATTGAGCCAGTGTGTCTTTTTTTTGGTCTTTTTCGATACCAGGGATCAAACTCACAACTGCCTGCTTACAAGGCAGGTGCTTATGCCGCTGAGCTAAATCCCCAGCCCCACCAATGTGTCTTCTGTCATAGGGGTATAACTCACGGTAGAGGATCTGTCTGGCCTGCAAATGCAGCACCATAAGAAAAAAATATAATTTGCCTTCACTGCCGAGGTCGACCAGCATCTGCTTGCTCTTCTCTCCTCCATTCAATTCATATTACATTTTTGTTGTAATTCTGGATTCTTATTATCCAGATACCAGCTTAATTTCTAGAGTTAACTTTTCTTTGAGAATGCTGAAAAACATTAGATTTCTAAAATGCTGAGCTGGAAAGTTATTTCATAATGGATGTTCCAACCATCTTCCTATATTTTGTCAATTGTAATTCTCAAGAGCCCCACAACTGGTTCTCCCAAAATCTTTTCATTACCATATCAGTCATATTTCCCAATATTAATTTAAATTCATAAAGCATACTTGCAGGCAACCCACTCAGGACCCCTTCTAGCTCTCAGACAGAAGCTTTCTTTCTGTCAATAAATACTTTTACTCTTTAAAAAAAATCATACTGGCAACTTGCAGTGTAAGATGGTGTGTAATACCTATTAGTTATTGATGTCAGTATGTGCTGTAATGTCAAACTTAGGCAGGGAATATTTGTGATCTTTCAGAGAAATTCTAGGTCCCTGAGCAAAACTTCCTAAAAGTTTCTTCTTAAAGAAAAATAGTAGAAACATCATCTTCTGAGCTCTTCTGAGAATGGTCTGGATAGTATCCATGCTTCTATTTGCCTAAGAAAGATACATTTAAAGAGGATTTAGTCAAATAGTCAAAAGTATTGTTTCAGAGAACCAGGTTGCTCCCCATCTCTCTAAAACTGCTTGGAGAAGGTAACTTCAACAGTCTGAGATGGTTTGTTAAGGGTCACCAGCATAGGTAGAAACAGGAAAAAATCACCATATTCTAGTCAATTTGAAGATTTTCCACTCTAACCTGAAGACTTACATTAGCAAGACTTCCTAAACACCATTTGTTTGAATACCAAGCTATGAAGACATTGAAATCAATTATACTGGTTTTAGTGTCAAGTTAATTCTGATATGTAATTGGCCACTTTATAATCCTACTGTAATAATATCCTTATTATAAATGATACCCTTATTAATAACTACATAGATTCCTGTTCATGTCTGTGTCATGACCAATCAGCAGAAATCAGCCTGCCAGCATTCCCACCTCAAGCAAATGTTTCTCTTGCAGCTCTCTGTAATGTTCTGTATTTTTCCTCTCACTTTAACCATTTTTCATTCATTAATGTGACCGAGGAAAGAAAATGTAATGCATAAAATATAAAATCTATTTAAAAACTCAGGGTAATCACCATTTAACAATGAAGAATGTGCCTAGATATGGTAAGTGGTGCATTCCTGTAATCCTAGCAATTTTGGTAAATGAAACCAGGAGATCATAAATTGAGGTAGGAGGAAGGCAGCCTGGGCAACTTCTGTCTTTAAAAAATGACTGGAGACATAGCTCAGTGTGAATTTAATCCCTAGTACAAAAAAGAAAAGATATTTCACATTGTTTTGGCCAATGTTAACTACAGGCTCAAACCCCTTACAAGACCAGATATAGATCTGGCATATATGACATCAGTAAGGTTTAATTTCTAAAAGATGAAGAACTCAGGGTGAAAAACTGGAAATATTATTGAGGATGGATGTGCAACCCTCTAGATCAGAGCTGTCCCACAGAAGTGTCTAAGACAACAAAAAATGCTCTGAGACTGTGCTGTCCACAGGGTAGCAACCACTGGCTACAGCCAGCTGTTAAGCACTTGAAATGTAGATACTGCCGCTGAGCAAATGAATTTTCAGTTTTATTTAATTTTAATTAACTTAAACTGATAAATCCAGATTTATATCACAATATCATAGGAGAAAGGAGTACACGTTTGGGTTGATAAGATCTGCGTTGGTTTGGGTAATAATTCCCCCAAAAGCATGGTATGTAGGAGGCAGCAGAACCTTCAAGAGGTAGATAGAGTGTAATGGGAAATCTTCAGTGGGGATTTGCCCTGGAAGGGGATTGTAGGACCTCAGAGTCCTCCTGACTCTCTTTTCCTTTCCAGTCATGAGGTAAGTAGTTTTGCTCCACCATGTACCCCTTCCACATGCTCCACCACAGACCCAAAGCCACAGGACCAACTGATCATGGACTGCCACATCTGAAACTCTGAGCCAAAATGTACCTTATCACTTTCTAAGTTGATTATCTCAGGTATTCGTTGTAATGATAGAAAAATGACCAGGTCACGATCTGGGAAAATAAAGGTCACATCACAACTTCTGGAAACTTAACTAACTCTATGGCTAAAATAGATTTGCAAATACATAGTCCAGTCTGCTTTTATGGCAGAGGGTCACCTTATCCATCGTGGAGTAATCCAGGACACAGTATGCTGTATACTCATGTCAAGAGGCTCAACGTTCAGACTTCAGGCTGGCGTAAGCTGGTTCAAGAACTTTCTGAACTCAATGCTGAGGGATAGGAACACGGTTCACCTGGGATACCTTGAAGAGTTGTGCTGATTTGCCTCCTAGACAGTGAAAAAGATTAGATTTTTTTCTTAAATCTGATAATGGGAGTCAAATATGAACATATGTGAAGAACCTCTTAGTTAAACTCTTTCATTAAATGGTAAGTGTATTTTTAACCACATGCACATGTGCATGCATGCACACATACACACACACAAACCAGTAGAAACTCAGGGAAATTATCAAATTATTTAAGCTTAAGGTTAGTAAAGGAAACGTTTTTTCTGATTTACATAAACCAATTTAGAAGTAGGAAAGAAAAGTGGCTTGATCATTGGTTAATTTAATATTACAGTTTAGGAGTCAATGATAGAATCAGAAACCTTAAATAACATTCTAGGACAAGCAAGTATAAATTTAGAACTCACAACAAATGTTAATTTCCCTGCAAATTCCTCAAACATACTGTTACGGTTTGTGTATGGATGTTCCCCCTCAAAGCCTCAAGCAGTCATGGGGGAACAGGCTTCTAGAGTTTGTGATTGACTAATGGTCCAATGCTGGGGTTATGGTGTGAGTGTCATAGGGTGGGTATCCTACATACAATATAAGAGACAGAAAGAGTCTTTTCTCTGTACTCCTCCATTTTTGCTCTTGTTTCTTTTACTGTCTTTTGCTTCCATAAAATGTTGCCCCTCTACCACAAGTGATCCTACCTTGGTGCCAGATGATTATGGACTGAAACTTCCACAAACTGTGAGCTAAATAAACCCTCCCTTCCTTAGTTTTGGGTATTGGGTACTTTGTCTCAGCAATGAGAGAAAAGTAATCAAGACAGCCACAGAAGATATAAGATTAACATTGTGAATCGCTCTGGACCTACCAACTAAATTCAATGATTATCAACATTTGACCAATCCCAACTGTTCTATACTTCAACCTACCTTGTCTTTCATCCCTAATGCATTTTATGTTTTTTACCGTAATGCTCCCTGTTGCATTCAAAATAGCTGCACGTATCTTCAGACATAGTAAAAATCAAACAAAACAGAACAGAATAGAACCAATAAAAACAAAACAATGAATGCAATAAAGGACTTCAAACAAGACCATAGTGAATTCAAATAGCTACCATAATATATTTTTCTATCTTTGAAATAGCTGCCCATGCCATCAAATATAACAAAATCAAACAAAATGAAACAAAATAAAGCCTAACCCATCAAACCAATGAAAATGATACAAGATTTCAAAACAAGAAAATAGGGAATTAACAATGGCTACCACCATGAGAAGAAGATCCCCAGTGGATGCCATACTGCATACCGTTGTCCTCCAAACAGATGATCAGACCACTGGCCCCAAACCTGCAAAGTCTGTGAAATACCAAACACCACAAGCATCAAATTGCATTTCACATGAATAGCTATCATTGCAGACTCTGTTGACTGTGCAATTTGATGCTTGTGGTGTTTGGTGTGGCATCCACTGGGTCATTAATATTTTTAGATCTGATTATGATATTGTGATATTTTTAAATGGTTTTATCTTTGGAAAGGCAAACCAAAATATTTTTATGTGAAATGATATGATGCCTGGGGTTTTCTTTAAAATGACGCATTAGGGCCTCCTTGCAAACCAGCACCATGCACTGGCAGCCACTGGCAAGGAGACAGCCAGACCCAACCCTCTTCCGATGTTCAGGCTGGGAAACAAGAAGAGCCAACCGCCCCCCACCTCAGTTGCTTACCATTTAAAAATGCCACAATATCATAATGACTTCAGTATCATCAGATACCAGTATTAAGACGTCTCTAATGTCCTCATGGGTTTTTATTAGTGCACCAAACCAGAACCCAAGCAAAAGCCTTAAATTGCACTTGCTTGGTGGGTCTCTTAAGTAAGCTTTATTCTCGAACTTTCCTTCCTTTCTTTCTATTTTTCCCTTTTGCCATTTATTCATTCAAGAACAGTGAATCACTGGTCCTGTAGCTTTTCTCACATTCTGAATTTTTCTAACTGTATCCTTTCTGTTACTCAGTATGTTTCCTTGTTCTCTGTATTTAATATAAAGATAGTTCTCTTAATAAATATTAAGTGAAATTCTATAAAGAATAACTTTCACTTAACAAATATTTGGTTACCTTGAAGTATTGTTTACATAGAAAAGGCAGAATAAATGCTTAATTCTTTACCATATTTACCAGTTTTTCGAACAAATAGAGACCCGCCTAGTAACTGCCTAAGATGACTGTTAAGGCTTTTTTAAAGAAATGAACTCATAGGTTTTAACACAATTCAGATGTTTCATTCATTACTGTTCTTTTTAATGTTCAAACTGTCTCTCTGTTGATGAATGGGATGCTTCAAACCAGTTCCTGTATTCTTTAAACATAACCCTAATGGTCTTAGATGCCTTCTTCTCTTTCTTATATGAGGAAATGTTTTAGGCACTATTCCACATCTCCTGCCTCTGGACTGGAGTCAGCTACTCTGTGAGGGAGCCCTGTTTCCCGTCACTGGTAAACAGTATTTAAAGACCACCGTCTGGCCAGGGATGGTGTCACATTCCTGTCATCCCAGCATTCAGGAGGCTGAAGCAGAAGGATCCCTGTGAGTGAATTCAAAGGCAGCCTGGACTACAGAGTGAGTTCAAGACCAGTGTGAACTACGTAGTAAAAGCCTGCCTCAGAGAGAGAGAGAGAGAGAGAGAGAGAGAGAGAGAGAGAGAGAGACAGACAGACAGACAGGCAGACAGGGACAGAGAGAGGAGACAGAGTCTGCACACTGAGAGTACATTTTGTGATTTGGAGGGTTATTTTTAGATATTTTAGTGAAAGAAACTAAAAAATACATTTTTAAAAGATAATATATATTATGAATTTATACCGATTTCTGTAAATCAAAATTAGGACTGTAGGAATTTTATTCCTTTGAAATTTTATATTTTTATCTCTTTTTTCTTTGTGGTAAAACATTGCTTCCTAATGATAGTATAATTTATTTATTTTTTCTTACAAATATGTCCAAAATAATAGTTAAAAATAATATATATTATTGCCAATAATATGGTTACTGAGCAGTCTTTAAGGGTTCTTTGTATAGTGTGTGTGTGTGTGTGTGTGTGTGTGGTTTTAGTACTTGGGATATATGTGTATTGTTTTCACTGGAAGTCTATAGTTAGTGTTTTAAAGTCTTTTTCAGGTGATTGTCAATCAACATACATTTAGGTTTATTTGGGATTTACTGTTTGATTTTTAATAGTTTTTCCATATGTATTTAATTTTGGATTTAACTTGACATATATACAGTTAAAAGTCATAAATATAAGATAAGATCACTCAGAAAAGTCTATCTGTCCCCTTCTATTGTCTCCCTCTCTTTGGTAATTTCTAAAAAATGTGCTTGCTTTTCAATTATTTTGATATAATTGAATATGTGTGCACACAAATTCATTCTTTCTACTCTTAGAAAAAACATGATCTATCACGTACATATTCTGTACTTAGATTGCACTTAAAAATAATTCTCACTTGTATTAGTAACTAGAGAATTTCTTATTCTTTTTTGCAGCTGCATGGTACTTTAATGTATACCTTGGTGTATAAAACTGTTACCCAGCTAATGGATTTTTGAGCTATTTCCTGTTTTTAACACTTGTAATGTATAATGAAAAGTCCTGTGCATATGTTTCTCATTTTCAAGAGCATATCTTTGGAAAAGATTACTAGAAGTGAGATTGTGTGTACGTCAAGAGGTAATGAATATATATAGTTTTGTTAGCTGTTATCAAATTCTCCTTCAACTAGATTATACTATCAATCAATATATTGTTGCAGTTTTGGATTTTGTCTCTCTGAGAAGTGGGAAATAACCTTAGTGAAGCTCATTTTCCCCTCTGCAACACATATGCTAAAAGCTAAATTCCAAAGAGACAGGATTCCTTTGGATAGTAATGCCGTTAGGGTTGTCAAAGAAGATTTGCAAATCTAGCAATAATTTCATCAAAAAGGAAAATGTGGTTAATGTTGCACCACTTGTTCTGGGCTACATTTTGTATTGAATAAAGAAGTTTTTCTTACAGATGGACTTGAATTGTTAATTTCTCATCCAGGGCAGATTAGCCATGGGAAGCTTATGGAACTGCAATAGCCATGATTCATAGAACAAGAAGACTCAAAGAGTTTGATTAGCAGCATAGGACACTGAATACGTGCAGTCACTCATTCACATGCATGAAACAGTGAAAAGATAGTTTTGGGGAATTTTGAGCCTAACTGTGGAACTGGAAACTCTTGTGCAGTAACAGAAACCAATGCTTAATAGTAAAGAGTCATAAAGAAAAAGGATATCATACGTTCACTCATAACTCTGTGGTACTCACCTGGTGTGGTGATACACAGTATACATAATCCCAGCACTCAGGAGGCTGACACAGAGGATTGCTATACGTTCAAAGCCAGCCTGAGCTCCATAGTGAGACCCTGACTCAAAAACAAACAAACCAAAAAAACAAAAACTCCCCTCCCACAACCCTCCCCCACCAAACTTTATGGTACTCTTAGAAACTCCACCTCAGGAGACTGAAGTATAAGGATCACAAGCCGGGGCAATTTACAGTAATTTAGTGAGACTCTTATCTTAAAACAAAGTAAATAAGGAAAGAAAGAAAGGAAGGAAAGAAAGAAAGGAAGGGAGGAAAGAAAGAAAGAAAGAAAGAAAGAAAGAAAGAAAGAAAGAAAGAAAGAAAAAGAGAGAGAGAGAGAGGAAAGGGAGGGAAAAAGGAAGGAGGAAGGGAGAAGAGGAGGAGAGAAAGGGGAGGATAGAGGAAAAGAGGCTGGAAATTTAGCTCAGTGTAATGGATGAAGTTCAGTCCCCAGAAGAAACAAACCAACAAAATCTCTACCTCACCCTGACCAGGCAGAAAGAATGCTTACATGTAATGTGCATTATCTGTTTTGTTTTTAATACTGAATAAATGTTTGCAAAATACAGATTTGTGATAGCTTTTCTTTTTCTTTTTGGCCATTTTTGGCATTTTAATAATAGAAAGGATTTAAGTGAAGGATTGACTTTAAAGAAATACTCGATATCATGTTTATACAAAAACAGCACTCTGAGGGTCTGTTTCCCTTGCCTTTAGCTCGTTGCCAGCTAGCATGATACCAACTTATCAGCCATTCAAGGGCACTTAGCAATGTCTCTTGTGGGCTAAGAACTGTGTTAGAAGCTGGGTACACAAAAATCGCCAATCCAGCCAGGCATGGTGGTGCATGCCTGTAATCCTAGCACTCAACAGGCTGAGGCATGAAGATTGGCTACTTAGTGAGTTCAAGGCCAGCCTAAACTACAGAGTGAGACTTTGTCTCCAAGAAACAAAAAACAAACAAACAAACAAATAAAAAAGGCCCAACTACAATTCCTTCCTTAGAGGAATGTGCCAGGAGGCAGAGCAGATGACAAGTAAATGTGTAAATTCATAGAACTTTGATATGGGACCAACCAGAGTATACTGGAATTGTATAGATGTGTGTCTACCAGTGGAGTTCACATTTTTAAATGCTATCTTTACTGCTGGATGTGGTGGTACATACCTGTAATTCCAGAACTCTGGGAGGCCAAGGCTGGAGGATAGTAAGTTTAAGCCTAGCCCAGGTAACTCTTCAAGACCCTGTGTCAAAACAAAAATAAAAGCAGGAAGAGATGTGTGCCAAAGCCCTGGGTTCAATCCCTAATACAACAAATAATAACAAAACAACAACAATATCTTTACTATAAAAAGCTATTTACGAAAACAGAGACTTGTGAGGAGCAAAGATGGTGGATAGATAACAACTGGCTACAGAAGCTCTCTGATAGTCAACTTAGAATTCAACATAATACAGAGTGGGGAGTCCCAAACAGAGAGAGATGAATTCTCTCATCCCAAGAAGAAATTAAGGTGACTTGCCGACCATCCAAGGACCCGCTGCAACTGGCTGATGCTGTGACTTGCCGGGGTCCCGCTGCAACTTGCCAAGAGGTCCCACTTCGACTGGCCGAGGCCCTGCTGCAACTGGCCGGGGTCCCACCACAACTGGCCGAGGTCCCACTGCAACTGGCTGAGCCTTTCAAGGTCCCACCACTTCAACTCACTTGAGGTGCAGTTACATTGAGTTCAGGGGTCAGCGAGCCCAATGGAGAGCTGAGTTGGCGGGGAGCCTACATGGACATGTGGTGAGTGACAGGAGTGGAGCCATTCCATAAATAGGTGGGCTCCGGTAGATGACATTCTGGGACCAGGCAGAACTGGCAAGTACAAGGGGCAATAGTAACTTCAGTCAATTGTTCCCTTCCCGAATGGGATTGGTGGAGTGAGCTAGGTCTGGGTCACATAACCTGGCTGAGACCCAGTAGGTTGTATGAGGTCAAGTCCCTGCAGCTGTGGCACACACTAACCACACTGGCCCAGTGGGGCCTCAGAGGTTTGGCTGGTCTGGAGGGAGGCATTGCAAAGTAATACAGTAGTGCAGGCCACAGCAGCTTGACTGATCTGGAGGGGAGAGGCCAGCATACGCTGTCCCTGTCTGCAACTCACTAACACACTGCAGTGTGAAGGTTCATCTAGCCAGCGACTTCAGAAGAATTGTAACCAACAAAGAAAGAAACTGGGGCCTCCTGGAAGAAGCCAAAAAAGATGGGAAGAGGAAGCAAAACAAAAAGTCCCCAGATTCAAACCCTGAGAACATTGACCCAGGATAGGTAAATACAAAGGAGAATGAGAACAGCAAACATGTCAGACACAGCACCAGTGGACATAAAAAGATATATTTAAGGGGCTGGGGATTTAGCTCAGTGGCATAAGTGCCTGCCTTGCAAGTGTGTGGTCGTGAGTTTGATCCCTGGTACCGATAAAAATGAAAAGAGACCAAAAAAAAAAAAAAGAGAGAGATATATTCAGGACCTCATAGATGAGTTCAAAAGTGAGATATTTAGCCAAATAAACAAGATATAAGAAGATTAATAAAAGAGATACTAAGCATCCCTCAAGCAGACACAGATGGAAGAAGGGAGGAACTCAAACACAGGAGAGAACCATTTTGTGGAGAATATAAAAAAAAATAGAATACATGAAGCAGATTCAGAGAGATCACCAGGAAAGTAAAAACTCTATGGAAAGATGGCAAATCAGCTTGAAAGAAACTAAGAATAGATTATCCAAACTGGAGGACAATTTTGCAAAGTTGGAGTATGAAAGGGAAAACTTTTTAAAAATAACAAGGAAACAAGCAGTAAAAATACAAAGGCTAGAAGATGACAAAAGGGTCTATAACTTGAGAATAAAGAATGTAAATGAAGAAGCTGGGATACAAACAAAGGAACTACAAAGGTTATTCACAGAAATAATTAAGGAAAACTTCCCAAACATAAGAAAAGGAAATGATATTCTGATGTTTGAGGCATACAGAACTCCAGCCATCTACAACCAAAACAGAGCTACACCCAGGAATATAATAATCAAGATCCCAGAAATTCAATATAAGAACAGAATATTAAAAGCTGTTAGAGACAAGAAACAGGTCACCTATAAAGGAAGGCCCATCAGAAAAATGGCAGACTTCTCGACACAAACCATCAAGTCAAGAAGAGCCTGGAGTGAAATATTCTAACCCCTGAAAGAAAATAATCTCCAGCCCAGATTGATATACCCTGCTAAACGGTCTCTAGAAATTAATGGAGAAACAAGATGCTTCCAAGACAAAGAGGAACTTGGGAAATTTGCAACCATCAATCCAACTCTACAGAGAATACTGCAGGGCATTCTAGAGAGAGAGAAAAGTACTAAGATTTCAGGAACAGTGGCAGAGAGGCCTCAATGAATAGAGCAGAAAACAGAATGAAGAAGATAAGCAGACAACTGATGCCAAAAAGAGCATAACAGAAATGAGGCAGTGAAGATTTTATTCAAAACTGGTATGATTGATAGTATCAAGTCTGAGAGTATAGGCAAATATACTGAAGATGACAAGACTCAACAATACACATTCTGGTTTGATAACTGCCAGTTTTTGAAGTTCTATATTATATACAAAGTTGTGTTTTTATTAATACTGTTATGTACTGATTGTACTGATGATATAGCCAATTCTATGAAAGATAACAAGAGACAACACAGGAATTATGGTAGAACTCCTTGTACAATGGTCTTACATGTCTTTTTCTTTTCATGTGTTTATAGGAATATGTTTTGTTTTGTCTTGCTTTGTTTTGTTTCTCCCTCTAATATAGAAAGGATAGAAATACATGTTAAGACTCATGCATGTGAGCCGGAGGAGTGTACCACAGGGGCCTACGGGAAGGAGAGACAACAGCCAAGAGGAAGGAGTCCATTCAGCCCCGCCCACCACCTCTCCAGCCAGAGGAGTGCACCACAGCTGCCAGCCAGAAGGAGGGAGCTGGGCTGAGCCGCTGGAACCTGCTCCAGCCTTGTCTGTGACCTTATTTTGACCTGGAGAGCACCAGCACTACTGCCACTGCCTGGAGGAGGGAGCAGCCCTGCTGAGGAGGTTTGAGGCCTACCTAGGCCATAGGGGGACCCTCTATCAGCCTGGGGAGTTTTGCCATCCAAGGAACTAGATGACTCCACAACATCCAATCCCTGGGAGAGTATGAGATCCTGGCTTTGGTGGGTTGAGGGTCCTCTGGACTTGCAGCCACACTAGATTGGGCTTAGCAGGATTTGGGGTGGCCTGGACCACACCAGATGGCCTTCTTTCCCTCAGGGGAGCTTTGCTACCAGAGGGGGAAACTGTGCAGCTTGAAGAGGCTTTAAGTCTACCTGAGAGGAGCCTGGCAACTCTCTTTTAATCCAGGGGCTCCACTACCCAAGGAGGGAGCTACACTACCAGAGGAGTCCCAAGAGCCCAGGTCATAAGAGACAATCCTCAACACACCCAGGGGAAAATCTGTAACAACACTTGAAACAGGGAAATATAGGAAAATGACAAAACAAAAGGCCAAAATGCAATCTCAAACATCCAGCCCATCCCAAGAAAGCCTAGGAGCCAGGTACATAGAAGAAAATACATGCCACATACCTGAAATACCTGAAACAATAGTAACTGAAATAAAGAAGCAACTCCGGGAAGCTTTAAAGGAATTCAAACTAGAAATAATCTCTCAGGTAAAAGAAGAAATGATAAAAGAAATGAAGGAGATGCTGAACATATCTAAAGAAGACACAGTTAAAAAATTGGAGGAACTAAACAAAAAGATAGAATCCCTGGATGAACAATATAAGAAACAAACAGAATATATAAAACAGATACAAAGAGATATACAGGAAATCAAAAATTCCATTGAAAGTTGTAAAAACTGCCTCAATGCATGCGAAAATAGAATTTTGGACCTTGAAGACAAGATTGCAGCCAGTGAACAGGAAAGGAAAGATCTTTTAAAAATAACAAGAAATCAAGAAATAACAATTCAACACCTGCAAGATGACGCAGAGAAAAACAACATGAGGTTGATAGGGATAAATGAAAAAGAAGGAGACAACATAAAGGATGTCAAGAGGATATTTAGAGAAGTAATAGCTGAAAATTTCCCAAACATGAAATTGGATCTCAGGATCAATGAAGCATATAGAATTCCAAATAGCCATAACCAAAATAAAACTACACACAGACATATAATAATCACCATCCTAGAAATCAAATGAAAGAATAGAATATTAAAAGCTATCAGAGAGAAAAGACAGATCATCTATAAAGGAAAATTTTTATAGGTTCAGAATGACAGCAGACTTCTCAACACAAACAATAAAGGCAAGAAGAGCATGGAGTGAAGTATTTCAGATCCTAAAGGAAAATGATTTCCAACCTAGACTGATGTACCCTGTAAAACTGTCCTTCAAAATCAATGGAGAAATAAAATACTTCCATGACAAAGAACAGCTGAAGAACTTCATGATCACCAAGCCAATCCTGCAAAGAATACTGAAAGACACCTTAGATACACTTAGGAAAAAACCACTAAACAGAGCAGACAATTAAGCAGAACAGAAAGATAAAGATGCAATGGCAGAAATATAACATGTCAGCAATAAACCAATATATAACAGTTATAACCATTAACATAAATGGTCTCAATGCACCAATTAAAAGAAATAGACTGGCAGAATGCATCAAGAAACAAAATCCAACCATATGCTGTCTACAAGAAACTCATCAAACCCAAAAGGCTACTCACAGACTGAAAGTCAAAGGATGGAAAACAATACTCCATGCAACAGAAATCCAAAAAAAAAAAGTGGGGGTAGCTATTCTGTTTGCAGATAATGTGAACTTCAAACCAATAATGATCAGAAGAGATACAGAAGGTCACTACATACTGGTTAAGGGAAAACTTCAAGAGGAGGAGATAATAATCTTTTTTTTTTTTTTTTGTCTTTTTCCTTTTTATCGGTACCAGGGATTGAACTCACGACTGCCTGCTTGCAAGGCAGGTGCTTACACCGCTGAGCTAAACCCCCAGCCCCGATAATAATCTTAAATATATATGCACCAAATTCCAGAGCACCCAGTTATATAAAACAAGTACTAACAGAAATGAAAAATCAAATTAGCAGTAATACAATTATAACAGGTGATTTTAACACACCATTGACACCAATGGACAGATCAACCAGAC